GTGATCAGAGAAAGCCTCTTGGAGCAGGCACCTGCAGAGTTGAGACTTAACAAAAAGCGTGTAGGCAGAGGGAATGTCAGGTGGACAAACCCGCAACGGGAATGTGCATTTCTTCCACCCAGAGTCCAAGAAAAACTTCATGAAGAAGACGAAGCACAGGTGAGCTGAAGAATGAACGAGTCGCCAGATGAAAAAGGAGAAAGTGCGTTCTGGCCAAGGGCAGAGGCAGGCGGAGCAGGAAGCCAGGAGAGAGGAACGGCTTCTTTTCGAATCTCCACGTAATTAAAAATATCTGGCCACCAAACACTGTTGTTCTTCTACCAGCTTCCTGCCCTGTGGACACGCCAAGCATTTTACCTCCTTTTGGCTCAGTTTGAGCGGTCTTTCTCTGCAGGTGTCTAACCAAGAAAAGCCCTTGTGATCAGCAGCTTCTAGTAAAAACTTCCCAGTTGGGCACCATGATGGTTAAGGCCTTGGCACACCCTGGAATGGCCAGAGGGTCCTGAGAGGAGGTAAGGGGTGGGGAAAATAAACACTTTGCCTGTGCTACAAGATCCCGAGGAGATGCCCAGCAGCCTGAGGGATGGCTGCCCACGTTGGGGCACATTCGCTCAGGAATGGGCTCGGGCAATGCTCCCCTTCAGTGACTTTTTGCAACAACAAGCACTGCCTCAGTTTCCCCACCTGTTATACATGGACCAATCATATGTGCCCTCCTCTTCTGCTTTGCAGAGCCCAGCAAGGTTCGTCAAGCACAGCTATAAAGCCTGGCGAATTCCTCCAAGCATAGCTTTATGTAAATCAGAGATTAAGCCTCCAGTGGCAGGCAGAGGACCGGTTTTCACTTCTACATCAGCGCTCTTTATTTTTTGCTGCAGAAGCAATTCCATCACACCAGAATTCACAACTGGAGGGGGAAAAAAATTCCCAATTTTACTTCTCTATAATCCAGAAACATATGGCCTACGGATTTATCACGCAGGAAGCCAGAAGGGGCCAGGTGAAGCGTCACCAGGCAGAAGGAGCGCAGCAGGGGGAAGTGCTACCAGAAACAGCACTAAAAGAAAGAAGTAATTAGGCCAGACTGCAGGAGTTGCAGGGAAAGGAAGTAGGACGCAGAGGTAGACAGCCACCCTTTATCCCACACTTGTCCCCAGGAACGGGGACTACAGAAGGTGCCCATGAAAACAGGCAGCTGATCAGCTCATCTCACGAACCAACTCCAGTCACCCTTCAGGATCCTCAGGGTGGGGGAGGCTTGGTTCCAGGACCCTTCCCTTGGATATCAAAGTCCCCAAATGCTCAAGGCCCTTGTGTAAAATGGCATAGTATTTGCAGATACCCTAGACGCATCCTCTCAATACTATGAGTTATCTCTAGATCACTTATGATAGCTAGTACAACATAAATGCTATGTAAATAGTTGATATACTAATCGTTTAGGGAATAGTGACAAGGAAAAAATCCATACTTGTTCAATATAGATGCAATACTTTTTCCAAATATTTTCTATCTGAGCTTGGTTGAATCCAAAGATGAGGAAGCCAGAGGTACAGAGGACCAACCAACGCGGTACTTGTACTCTGTGGCCTCGTTGATGGAACCCGAGTCTCTGCCGTCCTGCTGAAAACTGGGATGTCATCCTTGAGTCTCCCTTTTGCCTCCTGACTAAGGAAGTTTGGGAAAGAGGAAGCCAGGCTTTAAAGAGACCCCTCACGCAGCAAACCAGGCTCTCTTATCCATGAGGTAGTCAAACTAGCCTTCCGAAGTTTCCCACCCAGAGTGTGCCCTGTCTCCAGCTGTCTCATCCCATTTCCAGCTCCAGGCCTAGGCTCCCCACCCCCCTGATGTGCATGCCTGCTCTCTCCCTTGTTTTAGGCAGCCTTTTTAGCTGCTATGACTGAAAGTCCTGACCGGAACAATTGCAGAGGAAAAAAAGTTTATCAGAGGGCTCAGTTTCAGAGGTCTTAGTCCATAGTAGGCCAGCTCCATTCCTCAGGGCTCGAGGGGAGGCTGAGCATCATGGTGGCAGAAGAAAGAGAGGGAAGCAGCTCACACGATGCTGATCAAGAAGCAGAGAGAGAGACTCCAGATACAAAATATATACCCCATAGCCACGCCCCCCAATTAACCACTTCCTCCAGCCACACCCCACCTGCCTCCAGTTACCACTCAGTTATTCCCATCAGAAATTAATTCACTGATTAGTTTAAGGCTGTCTCAACCCAATCATTTCTTCTCTGAACCTTCTTGCACTAACTCACATGTGAGCTTTTGGGGGATACCTCACACCCAAACCATAACAACCCTTGACTTCTCAGCTGAACCAAACCCCCCTGGTACGTTTCTGGCATTGACCCTCTGTTTTCAGTCCCAAGATGTCTCATGTTGAAGAGGCCCCAGCCTGTGCAGGGGCTGCTGGGTCTTCTAATCATTTGGTCTCATGCCATTTGCAAACAGGTATAGCATTCCTACTGTATACAGCTTACCCTGTAAACACACAAATGTCAATAGGACAGGAACAGCTGATGGTTTTTCTGGACAATTGAAGACAGGTTGTGATAGTCAACTTTTGGTGGCCGTGACCAAAATACCTGACACAAATAACTCGGAGAAGGAAAGGATTATTTTGTTCTTTGGGGTTTTTTTATTTTTTTTTAATTTTTTTTTATTGGTTGTTCAAAACATTACAAAGCTCTTGACATAACATATTTCATACATTAGATTCAAGTGAGTTATTTTGGCTCGTGGCTTCAGAGGTTTCGGTCCATGGTCAGCTGGCTCCATTCCTTTGGGCTTGAAGCAAGGCAGATTATGGCAGAAGGCCAAGCAAAGGGAAGCTTCTCCATTTACTGCATCCAGGAAGCCGAGAGAAAGGGAGGAAAAGAGGTCAGGAATGAGAAGTGCCCTTTCAGGACATGCCCTCAATGACCTTCTTCCTCCAACTAGCTCCTCCCACAGCCTCCACCTCCTCTCAGTAGTTCATTCCGATTAGGACGCCATCACAGGATGGATATTCTAGTGAGGTCAGAGCCCTCGCGATCCCATCACTCCCCAAAGCCCCACCTCTGAATGCCGCTGCACTGGGAACCAAATCCTCCGTAAGTCTTTGGGAGACACTTCATATCCAAACCATAACACAGTTGATCTAGGCAGACCTCTCAGAGGAGGTAATACTTAAATATGTAAAAGAGCCATCCATGCAGAGATGTGAGGAAGAGAGCTGGAGGGTTGGAGAGAACAGACTGGAGGAGGACAGAGTCATCTTGGAAAAGCAAAGGGAGTTTGTGTGACTGGAGCGGAGGAAGAGTGGGGAGTTGAAACGAGACCAGAGAAGTCCCTCAAGCACAGGATATTTGAGGCCCTTGTTGATTATAAGTGATATGAAGAGGCAATCAAAGGATGAAAGCGAGAGTGGTTTGTCCTGATAGAGATTTATGTTTAAAGATCACTGTGGTGTCCTGCAGAGGACATGAGTGGAGGCTACAGGAGGCAGCCCAGAAGTCCCAAGGAAAGCACATGAGACAGTGGTCTCTCCTGTCATTCATCCACATTGTCTGTACCTATCCTCATTCAGACCCTTCCCACTTGTTGTGCAGACTATAACAGTGACCTCTGGATCATTAGCCTTCTTCCCCAGTCACTCCCACACCAAACCAGCTCTCAGCACCCTGCCTGAATGCATCCTAAATCACAGCTGTGTCACCACTGCTACATGTCTGTGAAACCCAGACTCCCTGATCCCTTAATCCCACATCCCTGGGACCCAGTTTGGATTAATGAGAAACATGTGGGAATTGCAAGGTAGAGTTTCCCAGAAAGTTATTGCTTCTCTGATATCAGCAATAACAGACGTCATGGCAAGACCTGGGCACCGTCTCTGCCTGGGGAGCACAGGCCATGCTAGAGGTGGAGGGGCCACATGTGTCAGATGGTGGGGCTGGAAGCTGGAAGGCACTAGCTCCTGACAACACCTTTGAGCTCCTGGATAGCATGCTCTTGCAATCTGTGTTAGCTGAGGAAAATGAACTTCCATTCAATTAAGCCACAGTAGAGCTCCTATTAAAAGCCATTAATTACCTATCCTCACCAGAGCAAGGAACTCAGGGAAGTGGGTGACTGCAGCAATAGAAGCTGTTAGCCCTGCAAAAGCTTCTCTTCAAACCAAGGAAGAGCCAGGCTCCAATGACAGGTGGGTCACTAACATGTGTGTGTGTCCAATAATACAAACTCTTGATCTCCATGAGTTAACTTGTGGGGACCCACAGTCTCCACAGAGGCAGACATGCTAATGGGAGAAAACTGTGCCAAAGCCCAGTGACTCAGCTCACCAGTGAGCTTCCTTCTGGGTGTCTGGATTCCCTCCGTTCAACTCAGTGCATCTGGAGCATCCAGACAGGCCTCAGATGCCAGCAGTCTTCAAAAGACCAGCCACCTTCATCAACTACTGAGTCAGAGGCCAGAGAGGCCTAGAACACAGACAAGACTCACCTTCCAAGGTCCAAAAATGACCCCAAAGTGGGGCCAGAAGCTGCCCATCATATAGGTCTTGGGTGTTTATCCAAATACAAGGCAGGCAACATCCAAGAGGCCTGACAGGTAGAAAAGGGAAGGCTGCACTAGGAATCTTGTTAAAATACAGATTCTACGTCAGCTGGTGTGGGATGAGGAAGAGCGTCTGCATTTGTAACAAGCTCAGGGTTTTAGTCAGCTTTTTCACTGCTGTGACTCAAAGGACCCAACCAGAACAATTATAGGAGAGGAAAACTTTATTTAGGGGGCTCACAGTTTCAGAGATCTCAATACATAAACAGTAGACTCCACTCCTCAGGACTCGAGGTAAAACAGGACATCATGGTGGAAAAGTGTGGCAGAGGAAAAAGATGACATGATCATCAGTAGGCAGAGAGAGAGAGACTCCACTCTCCAGATACAACATACATCCCCAAAGCCACACCCCCAATGCCCCACCTCTTCTAGCCACACCCCACCTGCCCCATTATCGCTCAGTTAATCCCATTGAAGATTAATTCACTGATTACTTTAAGGCGTTCACAGCCTAATCATTTCCCCTCTGAACCTTCTCACATTGTTTCACACATGAGCTTTTGTGGGATACCAAATTTAAATCATAACGCTCCACCCCTGGACCCCAAAATCTCAAACTCATCTGACAATGCAAAATACATTTAGTCCATTCTCAATAATCCCCATAGTCTCCAAACTTCTGAGAATGCTCAAAGTTCAAGTCCAAAGTCTTCTCTGAGATTCAAGGCAATACAGCATTGTGAGCTCCTGTAAAAGTAAAAGCAATTTATAAGTATCCAATATATAATGATACAGAGTAAACACTTCAATTCACAACATTAGGGGCATAGAAAAAAAGGGATAGGAACAAAGCAAGACAGAAATCTAGCTGGACAACCAAGCCCTATAGTTCCATGTCCCATATGTGGGGCACGTAGCATCCTGATGTTCCCACTAAAGAGCTTGTATAGCTCTGCCCCTGTGGCCATGTTGATTGCAGCCCAAGTGGCCTTTCTGTTGGCATGTCTCTGCTCTGGCTCCTGCAGCTTTCCTAGGTTGATGTCCCACATTACTAGCATTTCTTCATCTAGGGGGTCTCTACTGCAACTTCAGCTTCCTCCTCAAATCTCTACACATGGCTCTCTGAGGGGCTGCCCACAGGGACTTTAACCCTGCTACACTTTGCCTGACCTCTTAGGCCTTCCTTTGAAATCTTGGCGGAAGGCTCCATGACCCCCTATTTCCAGCATCCTGCCTTCCTGCAGAACCAGCACCGTGTGGTTGACCCCAAGGTCTGCTTCCATCTTGAGCAGTAGCCAAGCCTCCAGGGATCTTGGCTGTGTTAGCCTCCAAGTGTCTGGGTGGCTGAGCACATTGATAAAACTTCCTAGGCCCCCTTGTGCAAGAAGTGTGCCCCACTGGTCTCTTCTCAAGAGAATTTTTACTTTTACTTCCTTGAGTTTGAGGTTGGTGTGGTCTTGCCAGATCCTGAGATGCCCTCAAGCATCTTTCTCATTGTCTCTGGGCAAAGTCTTTAACTTTTCTTTAGTGGTAGTAATTGTCTTTAAGAACTGCAAATTCCTTAGACCCAGTTTTTCCCAGCTTTCAGGTCCAAGTTTTTCCAATATTTTTCTCTGCTTTCT